AAAAAGTGACGGAAAATAGCAGCTGCCTCTTCCAAAGGACTCCCGATTCATCCCTTAAAAAAACAGTCCAACTTCCAACTGCCTTTTAGAAACCAGAGAAGTCAAAACCAGGATTAGCTTGGACCATCACCTCATTCTAATAAGATAGGATTCACACATGCATTTTAGCATCACCTTCTTTCAGATCAAAAGCGGAATCATGAAATATTGGTACTGTCTCAGATAATTTCTCCAATGTCTTTGAGAACCACAATTCAGACACTTTGGATTATATGACAAGTTTCTCCCTCACACCCCCAAAGAATAGGGTTTTTGATAAATATTTGATGATACAGTCCCCTGTTTTTTCCAAGTGCTACTATACAGAATTCCGTGGAAGCATATCAGCAATTAGTTCAGAATGGTTTCCCAAAAGAAAAATAAGCATAAATAAAAGACATCTTGTTTACCTACTCTAACATAATAAATTCTTCGCAGTGGGGCAATTATAGAAGAGGGTCGTTTGGAAACCCAGTGGTCACATATTAGTGACTAGTAAGAAACAAAAAAGATAATATCAATACAGGAACAGGGGGGAAGAGTTAAGAGTTCTAGAAATATTTCATTCTGCTAAATGATTTCATTCATTTAGATGTGTAATTTCAAGCAAGAACACAACAAAAATATTTCATCCATCCAGGCCCAAACAATTTTTGCCCCATTAAACAAGAGGGAGGAGGATTACAGATGCTCTCTATATTTAGATAGGTTGGATGAACAAAGCAAAGGAGAAATCTGCACTAAGATACTGGACTGTTAAGACAGCTGGTGTGATGTATAAATTAAAGTGTTGTTAGGAGATCCAGGTTCAGGATCACTTTCAGTCATTAAAGCTCACTGGGTGACCTTGAATTACTTCTTCTCTAAAGTATCTCCAGCCCAAATTACCACAAGATTAGTCTTTTGAGAAAAATAATTGGGAAAGGGAGTACTATGCATTTAAAATATTGAAAGAATAGCTGAAGATAAATCTATCAAGTAAATGACAACTAAATATCTTAAAAACTGTAGCTGTACCATAATATCTAACATAGTTATGTCTTTCCGACAAAGTCATGGGTAACTGGTTAGGAATTTTGTTCTAATTTTCTGAAAATGGAAAAATGTGAAATGGTGATTGACGATTTTTGGACAATTGAAAAAAGACCAAATGAGGAGCTGAAAGTGTTATTGTAATGTTAAGGAGGGACAAAGATAATAAGCTCGTCATCATCATCATCATCATCATGATTTTAGCCATTGTCTATCCACTGCTGGATGAAGGCCTCTTCCACATGTTGCCAACCAATATGATCCTGTGCTTCTCTTTGGCCAATTGGGCCTACAAGTGGCTTTTTTAACCATCTCCTCTTTCTTTAACTGCATTCTTTGCTCTTTTTTTCTTTCTTTTCTTTATATATTTCTCTATTTGTCTTTTACCTATGTAAAAACTTTTAATAAACATTAATTAAAAAGAATGTTCTCATTTTCTGTAGTCTTAAGTTAAAATAAAATTACATTTGTCCTTGTTATTGAACTGAATTCTTTATTGGCCAAGTGTGATTGGACACACCAGAAGTTTTTCTTGGTGCAAATGCTTTCAGTGTACATAAAAAGGAAAGATACATTCATCAAGAGTCATGAATCATAAGGTACAACACTTAATGATAGTCATAGGGTACAATAAGCAATCAAATCATACTAGGAAACAGTCAATATAAAGTGACGAAGTTACAGTCTTACAGTCACAAGTGGGAGGGGATGGGCGATAAGGAGTGATGAGAAGATTAACAGTAATAGTAGTGCAGACTTTGTAACAGTACTACTTATGAAAAATCACAAGAGAGCCCAATACGGAGGCCTTCTCTTGCTCAATGGGTTGACTACCAGCTGGAAAGAATGGAGCACAACTCAAAGAACCTCTCCCAAAATCCTCAGAGCAACTCTGTAGTAATCCACAGCAGACATGCAGCAGCAATACCTCTCCATTCAGGCCTATGTGGAACCTTGTTCCCCTGAAGGCAGAATGTCTCTTTTTGAAGAAATAAATGTTGTAAAAGAATGGATATGCAGAGGTCTTGACTTAAAAACTGTTCTTTGAATTTTGGTCAAGCAGTGATGAAATCTGCCTTAGCTGCAGGATTATCTGCAAGATGATCGTCTCTCTCTCCCCCCTTTCTTTCCCTCCCTCCATCTATATCTATCTATATCTATCGCCTAAGCCAGTGATGATTAACCTTTTTGTTGTGTGCTGAAAGCTCTGACTCCATCCCGCTTGCCCCCTGCGCATGCCCACTGTCCTCGCACATGCATGCACAACCCCCTGTGCCCTGTTTTGGGCCTAGTAGGCCTCCCTGCAGCCTCCCGGGAGCAAAAATGGGCTGCAGGGGGGCTGTGCCCCACCCCCCATGCCCTGTTCTTGCTCCCAGGAGGCTGCAGGGAGGCCTACTAGGTCCAAAACCAGGAGTGTGGGGGGCCCCGCGCCACACACCCGCTGCACTCTCCCTGCCCCCACGCATGCACACGCGTCTCCCGCATGCTCTTCATCCCGTGCATGCGTGGCAGAGACCTGAAAATCAGCTGGCTGGCGGGAGACGCACGTAGCGTGGTGGAGCTGAGCTGGGGCAATGGCTCTGCATGCCACCTGTGGCACACGTGCCATAGGTTCGCCATCACGGGGCCTTAGCTCTGTGTATACACATAAGCACACACAATGGTCCATGAAGCTCCCTGTTAGAACACAAGCATTTCTCAAAAATATTGGTTCTGACAAATGTCAAAAACATGGGAACAGATGAACATTCCACATGAACAAATTGCTAATCTTAAAATGTTTCTGATATTGTAACATACTACATATAAGAGTTAAAGTTAAAGTTTAATCCAAATGGATTAAAACATATTTTTACCTTTCCCAAAAACTGCTGACACAAGCATTTTATATGAAAATTAAAAACCATGAACTCTGCAAATGCTTGAATGCTTGCTCCTTAAAAAAAAAACCCTTAACATAGCATCTATAGTGACTCAAGCAGTTAGAATTATTTTCATATGACTCAGGTTATTGCAGCATAAACAAACCAGCTCTTTATCTGAGGGATTAAAGTTTCTTTTCTCTTTTAGAGATCTGAAAATACAATCACCATCTGTTATGTACTCTTACCACAATTGCAACAAGTCATGTGGACCCCCAGCTAGGCAGATATAAAGCAGCTGAGTCACAAGCAATTTGTTCTTATTCACCAGAAAAGCCTAAATATATGAAGGGTGCCCACTTGTAATATTTCAGATAGGGAATTAGAGTCCAGCACTTCACAGGATATTGAGAATGGATAGAAAGTTCCAAAGCCAAGCATAACCAATCATAATTGGCTTGTCTAAAGACAGCATAGCAACACAGAGTGCATCCATCCAAAGAAGAGAAGGAGCTGTAAAGTCTAAAATGTTTGAAGCTTGGTTCAAGAGTTTATCTACGGTATGTGCCTCTCAGAAGAAAAGATGCCTCTCGGAACCACTGTTATTAACCATTTGCACAGCAAAAAGAAAAAAAAATACTTGAAAGTATTCTATTCTATGAGGAACAGAGAGCATCTATATCAGAAAGAAGACTTTTTCAATAGATCAGTACTGACAATTTATTAGTTCAGACAGTTGTATAATGCCTACTAAAGGAGAAAATGCGAGGACACAAAATTTGACTTAACCAATGTGTTTCCAGTAAGAAATTGGTTCCTATACAGGGTCTGTAACAGTAGCACAAATCCCTGTCTAACCACACACACAAGCTGACAAAGTTCACTCATACATACACGTTTACTTCTAGACAGAAATAGATCCGGCATAGCAGATTTGCTTAGGAAGACTAAGGTTCACCTCCTGATTCAGCCAGGAAGCTCACAGGATGCCCTTGAAAAGTCACTGTCTCTTGAGGTATACAACAATGTGGATGTGAATACTAAGGGATAAGCCCATACTTAGCACCATGCACTCCACTCCTTGAATGCAATAAGGGCAAAGTCCAAATATACACATATATATGCACAAATACTTTTCAGGAGTCCACACCTCCATGAAGAAAGGGACTGTGTTGGCTCACATGCAGTATGCAGTTTTGCATACTACTGATTTAAGCAATTATAATTATTGCAACAGCTAGCCCTAACTAGTTCACACTCACTCCCAACCTCAGTCTATTCTCCTTCGGTCTTTTTCATCCATTCTGTTGAAACCTATCACTACTCTTTCCTAGCATATTGCCTACCAAAACAAATACGCATACTCTAGAGTTTAGGTTAAACCCTAAAGTCCAGGGTTGTTGTTTTTGGAGTCATATTGACTCCCGATGATTGCCTGAACAAGTCCCTGAGGTTTTCTTTGCAAGAATTTTAAAAGTATTTTGCCATTGCCTACTTCTTGGGACTGAGTGTGTGTGACTGGCCCAAGGTCACCCAGCTGCCTGCCTGCCTGAGGCAGGACTAGAACTCAGATTTCCTAGGGTTTAGCCCGATACACGTGTCAAAAAATGTAATTGGGGGGGTGGGTGGACTCTCAAATAAGCCTGAACTGATTTCATGATATAGAAAGCACTTTCACACCACCTTTGAAATAGTGCTTCTGAACAGCGGTTTGCTCATCCAAACAAAAGGCTGCATTATAAACAGAGATGTGACAGCCTGAACGTGAAAACCAGGCAAGTGTGAATCTGCCGGTTAATGTAAGCAAAATACCACGAAGTTTTCCTAGCCTTCTCAAATGTAATTAAAGTTCATGCATCCAAGCGTTATATCAACAATTGCACAGCAATCTAGTGCGTGGGTAGAAATCCTACACATGCCTCTGGGAACCAAGGTTGCAAAATCAGCAATTCACCCTGGCACGTGAGAACTAGACACCCCCCCCCCCGCCCAAGACCGTCCCTTCCCCGTTTTCAAAGGCAGCAGGAGGCAGAGAGAGAGCGCGCGCGGGGTGGGGGTGCCACTTACTTTCTCCTTCTTGGTTAAAGAGACGCTGCCACCGCCGCCCTCCCCTTGTTCGCCACACTTGTTGAGCTTCTTTTTTCCGGCTCCGCCAATTCCCGGCGGGCTCCAGGTGATGGGGACGCCGCTTCCGCCCTTACCGCCTTCGTTGCTTTCTATTTTGATTAGCCGGTGCTTAGGGGAAATGTACTTGACCGACGCGGAGTCGGGCGGGGTGGCAGCGCGGCGTTCGCTGTGGCTGCGGAAGAGCTGAGGCGAAACCGAAGCCGTCGAGGGGGTGGGGGCGACGGCGGCGCTGCTCCCGCCGCTGCTAACTCCGCCGCCGCCGCCGCCGCAGCAGGACGAGGACGAGAAGGGCTTGGGACCGGCCGACTCCACCAGCAGCTCCTCCGGCGCGCAATACTCGGCTCGGCAGAGCGCCCTCAGTTTGCGCAGCGACGAGCCCGGCCCGCTGTAAGGGTCCTCGAAGTCGCGCTCCTTCTGAGCGCGGTAGGCGCGGAGCAGGTCGCTGGTGTCGTGGCGCGGGAAGCACGGCGACGTGTGGTGGTGGTGGTTGTGGTGATGGTTGTGATGCCCTCCGCCTCCGGCTCCCGCCGTGCCGTTCCGCTTGTCCCGATAGTCCGGACGGGGCGGTTGCGGAGGGCTCTTGGTCTTGTTATTGCCCAGGCTGAAGTATTTGTTCAGCCATTTGGCCATGACGGCACCGAGGCGGGCGCCCGCCTGCCTCCCTAAGGCACGCCGCCCGCGCCCATGGAGACCCCGAGGAACCGTGCGCCGCCGCTCAGGGCTGCACGCCTTGGCGTCCCTCCGGCTCGGGCGGCTGTTCCTGCAGCTCCCGTCCCTCCATGGGACCCCGCTTCTTCAGTCCAGCCGTCCGCTCCCGGCCACGCCAGAAACTTTTCCCCCGGGGAGATGCCTTCGCGCCCTCGAAAGCGAGGACTGGGAAAGCCCCCCACAGCCACCCACCCCCGCCTCCGACCTCGCTCCGGGCTGGGCTGGGCTCGCTTCTTCTCTCGCCTCAAAGGCGCCGCTTTCCTGCCTTCCCTGAACTTTGCCGAGTTGCCCGCAGGACCTGACGCACGCAGGCTGGGGCTGAAGCGGCTCCTCCTCCCCGGCGCCTTGCCTTCGAGGCCCTGCGCCGGACGGCCGTATCCAAGCTCCTGAAAAAGAGACTCCCTTCCGCGTTCGCCGCTGGCTGCCTCGCGCGTCCTCTCGCGCTGGACTCACCTCCTGCCTGCCCGCCCGCCCGCTCAAGGCAGCTGGGCCTACGCTCAGCACGCACCGGCGGGGCGGGGCTTGAGCACCGAGATGCCCCCGCCCTCTTCTCAAGCGGTGAGAGTGAGGAGGAGGAGGAGGAGGGCGGGTGCCTTTTCCTCCTGGCGGGCGATCGTTGTCGTGGAAAGCGGGGAATTTCCAAATAGGACGCGGCTCTCCGGTTGCGCCTGTCCCCGAGACGATCGCCTCCTAGCAAGGGTCGTGGAGGAGACGCTCCCCTCCCGAGGGCCCGATCTCTGGTGCCGAAGTTGGTTTGCGTACACCTTGCGCGACTTCTCTTTGCCAAGCTTCGGTTGTCATTGTGCGCACGCGAAGGGCGGTCCTGCAGTTGGAGAAGCACCTGTAACAGCATCAGATTTGGGTTTTTTGATGAGGAACCTGCTGGAATGTGGAGGCACAAGCCCAATCGCATACTAAAATGTTTGCTCCGTGTAGTTTTCGGTCACTAGCGAACAAGGCATCTGCCTTAAACTACACTTTTAAGTCTTCAATTCAGTCCAAAACATTTTCCAGAACTGAACACGCATGGGAATACTTTGCTCATGTTCAACCTTTTCTGGCTAAGGGTTGTATAGTAACAGGTTCTGTTTCATTCCTTTGCCTTAATTCCTCTCCTTTTCCCATCACTGAGAGCAACTGCCGCATGACTGATTTCGGTGCTTTGCAGACAGAAATTAGCACACCTTGAAATTAGCAAGATGAGCACAAAGCCTGCTGTGAAATACGATTGGCAGAACTGGACTGCTATCTGCCATATCTTTATTATATTTATACACTTTATTAAGCCAGGTGTACAAAAATATACTTTCAGGATCTTCAAATTGCTTAATTAAAGGTTGGAAGAGGAATGAAGAGAATCTAAACAGAGAAATAACTAGTAAAGGCATTAAAGTCCACACGGCCAAAATACCATTTTTAGGTCCACTACTACTTGGACTACTAGAGGCCAGTCAACCTCTCATTGATCTACCTCCAATCTGTAAACTGGGAATGCAGGCTAGTTATAGAAAAGAAAGTGGGGATAAATGAACTTCACAGTGAAGTCTTGCTTCCACTGAGCTGTGGTGGCACAGTGAATGCAGTATTGCAGGCTAATTCTGCTGACTGCATAGGGTTTGATCCTTACTGGCTCAAGGTTGAAGTTAGATGCGTTAGCAACCACAGTGGCATAGTGGTTAGAATGCTGTATTGCAGGCTGTTTCTGCCAACTGCCAGCAGTTCGATTCTCACCATCTCTTGGTTGACTCCGCCTTCCATCCTTCCGATGTTGCTGAAATGAGGATCCAAATTGTTGGGGGCAATATGTTGATACTGTAAGCCTCTTAGGGAGGGCTGTAAAGTACTGTGAATTGGTATATAAATCTAAGTGCTATTGCTATTGCTGTTTTCTGTGCAAACAAAGGATGCTCCAACCAGTGAAGCAATTGCACAGCCTGAAATGCTAGGGACCAAGGACTTCTGCCATGGCAGTGTGAAGCTCCTGCATGGAAAGATAGAGTACACGTTTGGAAAAATGTTTTACATTTTTCTATATATGTTTTTATTGTTGTAAATCACCTATAGCAAGTAGGTGGCCATATAAATTGAATGAATGAATGGATGAATGAATGAATGAATGAATTTGTATGTTGCTGGGGGGAGGGTTCCCACATTGAATAAAACATATTGATTTGGTTTTATTGTTTATTAACTTTATATGCCACTTACTTCACCATTGAAGCAACTCTGGTTTTGGTTTCATGCAACATTTGAACGTGTGGTTGACAGCTTAGCTTTTTTGTTGTTCCTAGGTTTATATTGTGCCTTTCATTCTGGACATTAAGGCATGTATAGCACACTTTTTTTCTTCCACAGCAAAAATCTTATGAAGTAGGTTGGTCTGAGAAAGTGGGGGATTGGCCCAAAGTCACCCATTGACCTTTGGTGGGTTTCTTTCTACTCTATAGCTCTACAGTAATCCATTATTAAAGCAAATTATTGATAGCAAAGGGAATCTAGAGATTCCACTAACTGCCTCATGCAGATGCGAGCTGTAAATGAAAGAGATAAAGTAATGTGCTGGATGTAATGAGATTTTAGCACTTTAGTCTTATCAAAAATTGGCAGCCTGCAAAATTAGCATGGTGGAAGAGAAACCAGCAAACAACGAAACCTGCACATCTACCATGTTCAGCAGAAAAACTGGAATGCCTCTGGTGGGCATGGCTAATCCATCCTCAAAATGACACTTTTAAACACATAGCAATTTACAGGGTCTCGATCAGTTATATTTCCATATCTGCATACTTCTAATAGATGCTTGTTTCTCTGTTCTTCAGGTTCACACATACTGTTTCAGCTATTGATCTCAAATGCAAAATGCTTTATCCAACAATATGGTTTGCTTTTTAGAGTTCTTGTTCTTTGATTGGCTGTGCCTCTTTTCCTACTTATCATTCCTGGGGTTTCTCAGGCCTGAAAATTAATCTAGTTTTGATGGACCAAATCTATTGCCACTGAGAATATATTCTTTAATTGTCTGCCAAGGCACCATTAGGTTTTATGAAACAGAAATGAAAAGCCAGAAGGAATACAGATTGAAAGTCAAAGTGAAAGCAGCATAGAGACAAAACAGTGAACAACCACACCAGTATACAAAACAGATGTAGGAATAGGTGATGGCCTGGGGAAATGAAAGGTGCCAGATTGTTTTATTGGAGTGATATAAAATAGTAGACTCTTGAGCCCGTCTGAAAAGGGGAACATGAATTTCGATTATGTATGCCAATTCCACAATTAACCCACGCACATCCAAAACAGAAGTTCCTCATAAACTTCATATTTATCCTGGAAAGATATATGAATTTCCTCTAAGTAGAATATGCATTGGTGGTGTCAGAATGCTGAATTTGGGATAGTCAAGATTATATTAATTTGTATATTTGGTGAACACTTGCATCAAGAGTCCTTGCCATTAAACACTGGAGTTGAGTTCTAATTACAAAGGTAACTGTAAAAGAATAAGCACGGTTGGATTAGAACAGGGGTGTCAAACTGGATTTCTTCAAGGGCCAGATCAACATTGTAGTTCTTCTCCGTGGGCTGGTGGGTGGAAGATGGGACAGATGCCTCTTGCAGCACCCTATTGGCCAAAATGCAGTGTGTGGGGGCCATGTGAGGCCCCCCATTTTTGGTCTGGAAGGCTTCCTGCAGCACCTTGCCAGCCAAGATTGGCACAAGGGGCCTCATGTGCCCCCCTGCACCCCATTTTAGCTTCCAGAGGCACTGTGGGCTAATCCTTTGCTATTTCCAGGCTGGCTCCTTGGGCCAGATTTAAGCACCCCATGGGCCGGATTCGGCCCACAGGCCTTGAGTTTGACACCCCTGAATTAGAACGTAAAATTTAAATTCTAACTGAGCCACATGTTCACCCATAGTGTTAAGCCACACTATGATGTTTTTGGTTTTGCTTTAATTATTAGAAGGGCTCAGCCACTATGACTAACTTAGCAATTTAAACAGCTTGATTTACATGATTTGCTAGCCCAAACACTGACTTTCGCTGCCCCAACCAAACATAACCCATAATATGGAGCAGAAACGGAGATGGATGTACTTCTAAACATTACAAGTTGGCATTTAACTGTGGAAAGCATGCTATTTTTTGACAGCCATGCTGCTATGTTACTAATGGTTTAGAAAGATAGGGCAATTCTTCAGACATGAATGGACGTTTGACGGGCTGCCACAAAGAAGAGGGGGGTCAGCCTATTTTTCAAAGCACCAGAAGGCAAGGCAACACACAGTAATATAGTAATAGCAATATGGATGGAAATTAAACAAGGAGAGAAGGGACCTGTAATTAAGAAGAAACTTCCTAACAGTGAGAACAATTAACTAGTGGAATGGCTTGCCTTCGGAAGTAGTGGGTGCTCCATCAGTGGAGGAGTTTAAGAAAGAGACTGGGCAGCCATTTGTCTGAAATAGTATAGAGTTTCCTGCTTGAGCAGGACTAGGTCCCTTCCAACTCTGTATTCTATGTTTTTGACTAATATCCTTTGGCCCATAATGGCATGGAAGCTTGCTATGTTGCCAGCCTTTTTTCTCCTTTAATCTTACAAGTCGTATGTTTTATGTAGAGGAAATTCACTTTCAAACCCCAGCATTTCCAGGTAAGGATGTGAGAGAGAGCAAGACAGCCTGAATTGCTGGTGCAAGTCAATATCAGCAATACAGAGTTAGATAAAAAGCTGTACTGTCAGCAGATCACCAAGATTTAGTACAGAGTTTCTTCTGCTTTAGAAAAATGCTGTTGAAATTACCATTTTGCAAGGCAACCTTCTCTAATAGACTAGAATAGAAACTATCAATAACAATATAGAAATTTAAAAAATAATGAAGCTCAGCTGAAACAACATACATGCTTACATTGACATATATAAATTCAGAAATAAAACATTTAATTATATTCATGTTTGTGGATAAATTTGAATAGATAAATGCTATAATTCATTGTCACATCATTCAGTTTGATTGAATTTGTCTATTTTTCAAAGTCCGTTTCATTGAATTTTTTTGACCAATGTAATTTCACACATTTTTAATTCAACAATAATATACTTTAATTTTCCAGTGACTGCATTAACAAATCTAGCCGCTAGCTAACTATAAAGATTAAATCATTTTTTTATGCTGGATAAGTTTGTTTCCTACATAGACGATAAGCCTGATTCGGCATTTATTTTGAAAGACTGTTGAGTGATTTTCCAAGTGAAGTACTTGGTTCTGTGAACTTGGTTGTTTGCTTGCAGACATTCAATGTCCAACTAGAGTATACATACTAACCGGTACCCAACACCCAGATAAGCAGGGATTAACATCAGGCAAACAATCAATCAGAAAACAATACCCCCACCAGCACTGGTGGGGTAAGCTACTGATTACCTGGTATAAACAGGGAGCAAACTCCATACTTGCTAGCACTGAT